TTGTTTTTTATTTTTGTATTATATTTAAAGTGTAGAAAAAATCAGTCTAACATTTTAAGGCAACATGAGAGCTTTTTCTTATATTTTCTTCCTTTCTTCAAATCGCAATCAGTAATTCCTTTCGTTTATAGATTTTTCAGTTTTACAACTACTTTCTTACACGCGTTTATACCGGTTTCTACCAACCTTGCACAATGGTGCATTTTTCGTTTTTTTTTTCACAAAAAAGTAAATTCAAAAATAAAAAATAAACAGAGTGCAATTTATAAAGCATACAAAATAATATGTTGAAAGAAAAAGATGAAGTGTTTTTATAATTTTTGTTTTAATTCTGTCTAAAAATACACCGAAAAAGCAAAAAACAATGAAATTAAACCAAAAATGTGTACAATAATAAAAGTAAAAAAATGTATAAATGTATATTTTCGAATAATTTTATTATTCTATACAAGTTTTCTAATTAAATCGTTTACTTATTTTTCTATATAATTACATGTTTTTTGGAACTTAATTTAAAAAATATTTTGAAATTTTTTTTTCATATGTACATACATACAGAGTTCCTTAAAATTTTTTCACAATTAGTTTCTGCAATATTTTTCTTTCTTTATGAAGAACCAAAAAAATAATACACCTACGTATATTTTATTGTAATTTCCTACGCTACTACTTGCTAAACTACATAAATGAATTGTTTTTTAAAAAATCGTATATTTTTTCTTTGCTCTTTTGCGTTTTAGTTGCGCTTTAGTCGCATTTAAATTGCATATTTTTAATTTTTTAATTAAGTTTTATTAGAACTTCCAAAACCCTTAGCGCTTAGTTTATAACTTATTATTTATACAGTTTTCAGCTAGAAAATTCTATCATTAATTTTATTATTTGGTACCTGTTTTACTTTTTAGGCTATGCGATTTTTGTTTATTATTTTTACGTGCAAATTTAATAAAAAATGCATTTAAAAAATTATAATTGTTAATTTTTTCATTATATTAAATTTGGAAAAAAATATACGTACGATGTACATATTTTTTCATATATGGATGTAAATAAAGCTTGCGCACGATTAAAAATTTAAGATATAGTTAAAAAAATTAGTTTGACACTAATAGTAAGCAGTTGGTTTCTTTACATAGAGAAGTTTAAGAAAAGGGTTGAAAGTATAGAAAAACAGGTGAAATTAAGAAAAATATTTAAGAAAAAAATCGCAAGTACGTAAATTAAACTATTGTTCAGGTCAAAATAAAAATGAGGAAAAAACGAGTGTTTACTTTTTAGATAAAAATTTTGGAAACTATAACCAAATCCTGAAATAAAAGTATTATTTCTACCACTTCATCCATACATATGTATACATGAACTAAATAACGAACAAACGAAAAATGAATAAAAATTTTTCATGCAATTTTTTACCAAATTGTAACAACAAAATCAACAAATATCAAAAAAAATCAGCATTTGCTCAGAATAAGTAATAAATTTTTATTTTAGATTGGCGTTTTTTAGCTACTCAATTTTAAAAACTTTTGACCAATTTTTTTTTTTTGTATATATTTTTACAATGAATTTTTGAACCTTTTGATGCATTTGCACCAAATTTTCAAAGCTGAGCAATATCCACTGACAAGGGTTTAACAATCAATTTTAGTATTCACAGTGCTCAGTTAACAAGAGTTTAAATCAGTTAAATGCTTCTGTATATAAACTCTTGTTAAAATAATTAACAGGCGATATAAATTTCCATAATTAACTATACGGCTGTGGATGTGAATTGCAGTTTTGAGGTTGCCTCAATTCACATGCAATAGGTATTGTTTTGAAAAAATAAAATAAAAAAATATAATAAAAAATAATGTGAAAATAAAAAATAGAAAACAATTTTTTGTATTTTATACGATTTTTGTGCCATATTTTCTATTGGAAAATTTCTTTTATTCAATATAAAAACTTTTTTACAATCTTCTTTTTCAAATTTACTTTAAAAATTTTTAATTATGATGTAAATCAAATGCTCATAAAAACCAATAATATTTATATTTCTGTTCTGTTTTATGTATACTATGTATGTAAATAAACAATGTTAACGCGCTTCTTTGTTTGGCTTTTATACATTTTGTTCTTTGCTTTTCTTGCTTGGCATAACGGCTATGGTTAAAATATGTAGATATATATATATATGTGTGTATGTATTTATGCATATGTATATGTGTGTATGTGTATGCGCTATACTTATTACGTAGGTACAGTAGGAAGATTTGCAATTGCTCTAGGAATGAGTATGTATCTGTTGTTTATCTGTATGAATTAAATTTTTTTTTTTCAGTTTTTATAACCCTGAAAGTATGCTACAATTTCTTATTGTGTGTTTCTGCTATGCATTATAAACTACTTAGCGCTTTATTTATAAGCTTTTTTCATATTTTTTTTGTTAATTATTTTTCATCTTTTAGCGTTTTTTGATTCCGTGCTTAAAATTACAACAATCTTACATAATTGAACAAATTAAATTATTAAACTAAAACTAAATCTTATACAGTAACTATATGCAATAATAGTTAATTAGTAAATCTTACGTACTAGTGGTTTTTTATCTCTTTTGTTTTTACCGCTTTTCTAGGCTGCCATATGAAGGCGCCATTTCGGCGTTTAAATTCAACAACTTTGTAAATTTTTCAGTTCAACAACCGCAAACGAACAGCACCCACAGCTGCTGCTAAACGTCGCTGCATTCCGGCAGCGAGTCGCGTTCCAACTGCGCCACATACGCCTTGCCTTGTTGCTCTACCGCCACACCCTCTGCCTCAACCTTTTTATTCTCTGTCTCAACTGAGCACACAGCCGTCGCTGCCGCAGCGTTCTCCATACTTGTCTCTGCTTTTGTTTCACACCCCGTCGTCGGTGTGGCTTCTTGCGCCGCCTTTACCGCCTCACTCTGCGTACGCTCTTTGCTCTCCTCCGCGCGCTCTTCACGCTTTGCCTTCTCCGCCTCCTTCAGCTCGGCGTCTTTGTGCTCCGACATTAGCTTCCACATATTAAAGAATTGCTCACGTCGCTGCATTTCATAGTTTAGCAGCTCAGCTTCGTCTTCGGAGCTGCTGCTGCTCACCGCGCGCATCTGCACATGCGCGGTACTCATACCCGCCGGCGTGGCTCCTATACCACTAACGCTCGCTATTTCTGTGTTAGCTGCGCAGTTTTCCTCCGCTGCGACAGCCTTTGCGTCGTCGTCCGTGTACGTGTCCACATCTGCTCCCGCACCACTTAGTACGCTGCTGCCCATCAGATGCGAGGTGGGCGATTCGAGACTGCTGCCCAGTATGGGAGTGAGTCCTTCGCCACGCCCGCGCTCGCGCTCCTGCTGCAATTCATCAAATTCGTGCAACTCGTGCTGCATGGAGCTGCGACGCGCATTTACCGCGCGCATCGCGACCAGCACGCCCGCCGCAGCAGTGGCCATTTCCTCCTCTTCGCTCAGTCCGTCATCACCGTCGCGTACGGGATCGTATTCGCGTATGCCGAACTCACCGACTGGTACATAGTAGCCATTCATGGCGACTAGGTAGACCACGCGGCTGAAGGGCGAACGGAAAAGCAGATCGCGATGGCCGGGCATCCAGAAGTGCACCACATAACCAACCATGCCGATACAGGGCAGCCAATCTTTCCAGGCCGAGCGACCACCTTTTGCGCGCATTTCTTCGCTGGGCCAAAACATATTGAAACGCCGGCCGACGTCAATGCGGTCGAAGATCTGTAGCGAAAATAGAAATTTGAGTTTGAAAATAAATTTTGTTTAAAGCGGCATTTACCTCAAAGTCATCGATGATGACGACTTTCTTGTAGAGCCCAATGCGCGGCACGTGACCCGCAGCCGCCAGCGAAGCCACCATGTCGGCGCTGTTCGACTTGCCGCAAATCTCTGGCACACCGCTGCGCTCGTTAGCAGCCAGCGCCGCTGCTGCCGTCAGACTGATTGGCCCCTTCGATTTGCGTGGATAGTCACCGGGCGTCGTTATGATGCTGCCAATGCCGAGGCTGCCCGAGGAGCTTGATATCTTTGTGTACCGTGGACTGCTACTCCCAGGCTGCAACTCCATGCCACTGATGCCAGCATGTGGCTCCAGCTGCCGTGCCGATTCGGCCGATTTCGTTGCTGGACTGTTGTTGGCTTCAGCTACACTTGCGCCACCGCCACCGCTACTGGTGCTGGCTATTGGCAGTGTTACACGGCGTTCGCGTTCAGTACGCGATAACGAATGCGATACGCGTATGCCTACACCGCGCAACTGTTCGCGCTCGCGCTCGCGTTCGTGCTCTTGCTCGCGTTCCCGATTCAGCAGTCCAGCGAGCAGCGCAGGCTTTGCAGTCACCACGGGACAGCGCCACAGTGGCGTCACCACCGCGCCATCACTGCCGAACTGCGTGCCGAGACTGCCACCTATGCTAGTGGGCACTGTGACGCCGTGCACTGGCCGACAGCTAAAGAGACTGCCCACTGTAAGGGTGTTGTAGAGTGGCGCTGAGATGTAAATGGGTGCAATTTCACCACCAGACTCCCCGCTGCCAACTGTTGCGCTACCCATGCCGCCGGCGGCACCGATGCCAAGGTTGGAAGTCTCCATCGCCGAGCCAGAGCTACAACCTTGCCGACAGCGCTCGCGTATTCGCTGCCACCAATCCAGCACGTTCGATTTGATGGATTCGAGTGTGATAGCGCCGCCGATGACCTTACAGAGCTGCTCATTCGTATCGGCGTAGGAGGTCGTGAGCGGCGAAACGTAAATAGGGTAGCCGATGGGCTGATCACAGCTGGAGTTGATGATGTTCCGCAGCGCTTGCTTGGCGTTTTGTATGCTGCCTCGCTCAGGATTGCGGTTGCGCAGATATATGAGCTCCTGCTGCTGCCCCGCCCAGAGGCCGCGCACACACTCGCGATTCAGCTTGATGACGCGGAAGCTAAGGAAGCGTTTCGTCAGCCTGATGATGCGGTACTCGTCAGAGCCATCCTCCATGACATGTCGCAATGCGAGCAAGTTGGGCGCGCCTCTAAGCACCGCGCTGCGCCAAACTGGATCCGCCTCGTGCGATATCACCAAATCCTTGGCACAGGTGTCAATCGCCTCGTACAGAGCGTCCGGGTAGTGAAACTCATCTGGGTTCGAAATGTGGTCTTGCTGCAGCTTTAGCGCCATCTTTACTGCGGGCGCCACAACGGCATGCAGCAGTTCCATGTCGGCGAAAACCCACTCATCGCGCGGCGATTGAATGCGAAAGTCGCCCTTAAATAGCTGGTGCAGGCCATGCAAGAAGAATTCCACGCCGGTGAGAGAACTGTGCGACGCGTTGGCCAGCGATCGCCGCGCCAGCAACCCCAAAGCCAAACAAAGTGAAACTATTGG